ATTACAGATGTCGGCCACCATGCCTAGCCTTCTGTTTTTTGGTTTTGGGGTTTTTTTTGTTTGTTTGTTTGTTTGTTTGTTTTTGAGTTGGAGTCTCACTCTGTCACGCAGACTGGAGTGCAGTGGCCGCTCCCGGCCACCGCAGCCTCGACCTGCTGGGCTCCGGCGATCTTTCCGCCTCAGCCTTCCAAGTAGCCGGAATTACAGGCACGCGCTACCACGCCTGGCTGATTTTTTTTTTTTTGATTTATTGTAGAGATGAGGTCTTGCTGCCCAGGCGGGTCTCGAACCCGCAGGCTCAGGCAATCCACTCACCTCAGCCTCCCAAAGGCGCGGGATTACAGACTGAGCCACCGAGCCCGGCTGGTTTTTGTTTTTAAGAAAACATTTATTCTGGGAAAATAGTATAATGGACTCCTAGCCTTTTTTTTTTTAATGCATTTAGTACCCTGGAGTATGAGATAGAATTAAATAGAAGCATACCAGAAGACTGAAGAAGACCAAAGAATCTTCTGTTTGTTATCAACACTTCTCCGAAGCAGTAGCCTTCAGATTCTCTTTATTAACTGGTATACACCTTAGATATTGTTTGACAGAGTTTCAGAATAAGAGTGATTTAAACAAGATAGAATTTTCTCTCTCTCACTTGAAAGTCCTACACTCTGTCTGGGCTCAATGGCTCAGCCTATAATCTCAGCACTATGGGAGTCTGAGGAAAGTGGATTGCTTGAGACTGTGGGTTCAAGACCAGCCCAGGCAACTTGGCGAAACCTTTTCTCTACAATTAAAAAAAAAGCTCGGCGTGGTAGTGCACACCTGTAGTTCCGGCTACTTGTAAGGCTGAGGCAGAAGGATCGCCGGAGCCCAAAAGGTCGAAACTGAGGTGGTCATGACTGTGCCATTGCACTTCAGCCTGGGTGACAGAGTGAAACTCCAATTCAAAAGAAAGAAAAAAGTCCTACATTCTGCTCCACACTGTACGGACCCAGACTCCTTCCTCTTGTCACTCGACCATCTGTGGTGTTAGGCCATCCTACCTAGAGACCCTTTCACAGTAACAAAATTTTTCGATTACCTGTAATAGTCCAAGACTTTTGATTTATAAAAACCATTTAAAAAGAATTTTCAGGCAAAGTTCTGCTGGAATGCACTTAAATTAGTGTTGCCCTTGTTATTTGCCTGTAGGGAAACTGCTTCCTGATATTTCAGACAGATCTACAGCTTTATATGGGAGCCAGACTTATACATTGTCTCACTACAGTGAGATTCTATCACTAATATATATCCTGTACAAAAAAAATTTGCATTTGGAAAGAGATTTTTGTGTTAATGGTAGCAATAAGAGACATCTCACTTCAGTGAAATAGTGTCTAGGGAGTGATGCGTCATTCAGATTTTGAGACTATTTTAAGTGAAACATACTTTTTGTGCTGCTGGTTGGAAAAACAAATCACAGAGCTAGGGAATAGAAAAATGTTTGTTTCTATAGAAACCCAGCACCTACTTCCGGGTATGAATAGAACACTTGAAGTGAAAAGAAAGCCTGTTCTTTATTTTATAGTAAGTTGTTTAAATCTCCCAACCACCTTGTCTCTGGATAACTGTGCCTTTTTCCAGTGGGTGCTATTCATGCAGACCAGCTTTTGTCCATGGCAGAGAGAAAAGTTAATGCATTACATGCATGACATAAACTGCGTCCAACTTACAATCAGGACGTGTTCCAAAAGTTCATTTGTAAGGTATTTGTTTATAACTCAGAATGTGCTTGTGCATAGAAATAGCAGTATAAATGATGAACAGTAGGGAACCAAGCTAGCCCACCAAACCTGTTTAATGCACCATGTATGTAAACTCAAACATTTATGTTTATCCTGGAAGGAGGGCGCTCATAAAATAAAAGGAGGCAGAGGAAGAAAAAGTCTTTGTCTTTCTATCTCCAAGAGTTTCTTTCCTTCAGTTTTAAACTTTGCTCATCCTCCTCCTTTAGGGAGGGGAGGAAGGGATTCTTGTTTCTGATTATCCTACCTTGACTAAACAACTCCCCCCTCACACCTACCCTTAAAATTTCTCAGTGCATATTCACAATAGCAAAAATATGGAACCGTGCTGCCCATCGAAACTAGACTGGATAAAAAAAAAATGTGGTACATGTACACAATGGAATATTATGCAGCTATAAAGAAGGACAAACATATGAACTTTGTGGCAACTTGGATGGATTTAGAGTCTATTATACTCAGTGATCTATCACAGAAACAAAGAACAGAGTACCATATGTTCTCACTCATAAGTAGACCTTGAACAATTATCATAATACTATGAA